ATATATATACTCTTTTTCCTTTAATTTGTGAGTGTCAGGTTTTTTGTCCCAGCAATGAGAAAGTAACTAAGATACCTCCTTTAATGTCAAAAGCACCACAGGAACAGTATCTCACCAATCACCCCCTCCCCCATCATACCTCCAAAATGAGGTGGCGGCCCACAGAGAAGCACCACGCCTTGACCTTCTCGAACAGACACTGTGCTTCTTGTTTTGGTTTCAAAGTCTTCAATATCTTGGAAAAGAAAAGTTTAGAGTTAGTTACTTTGCAGAGGAAGTAAAGTGAAATTGGTAGCATTTTTCTTTTTAAAATGGGTAATTGATACTCATATTTTGTTGAGTACAGATGTTGATGATCAGTTTATTGAACTGATTTTCATTTTCAAAATTTTGTGTTCCATTCCAACTTTCTTTTTAATATAATTAAACTCAATATATGATAGAACCATTGGCTAATGTACCTTACTGTCTGTTTACTTTTTATTCTTCTAATTTGTAGCACAGTAAAACATCTTTTAACCCTGGCGCATACTTACTCTTCCTATCAAAGAAAGGTGTAATTTACAAGAGAGATGTAGCAAGTTTGCTAGAGTCTTCTAACATTTTGGGTTGTTTCCATTTTGATGGGGAGGGATGGAATCTGTGAGAATTTAAGGTTTAGCAATGTGATGGGAAATTTACATGTGATAAAGTCAAGGAGACAGAAAATATCTTTTCCACTTGTTCGGGATCAACTCCTTCACAAAATTTCTTCTTGATCTCATGGGGAATGTTGTGATTTTTCTAGATCAAATAATAGTAGACCTACAGAGTCATGAGGAAAGCTTCATAGGTATCTTGATAACCTAATCATCTAAAGTACAAATTTACACCCCTGGAAAATGTCACTCATCTTCTAGAAATGGGTAAATTATTTCATTTCTCTGAATCTTAGTTTCTTCACTTGTAAAATCTATTCATTCATTAATGCATTCAAATTACTGAAACACAGCAACATTATTAAAGTGCAAGATGTATTTGTATGTAAAGCAAGCATCTGCTTTTCTCTTAGTATGTTTACCATTGAAGAGACCAGATGATTTGATAAAAATAAATATATTGTACACAAATTGTAAAAACTGCTCTGAAGATTTTTGTCTGTGGAGATCTATCCCCTATCTTCAATAACTGTAGCCGTGTAAGTTAAGCATATGTGTCCATGGTCATATTTCCCAGAATTTCTGCCTTGTAGGTAAACATGACAGCCAGAAACAATGTATCTTTTTTTATTAAGTTGTAGAGAGGGCATTTCAGCAGAGTTCAATGTTGCCCATCCATCCATCTCTACTACCACCTGGATTGACAATGACAGGAGAGTTGTTGGCACTACTTCCTGAACACTAAAGAGCCACTGTTTTCCTGAGTCCTTAAGTGACTGCACAAAGCAGAAGCACAATAAAGTCAACTTTGTTTGAAGCATTTATTTTGGGGTTTCTTTGTCAGAGCAGATAAAACTTTATCTTAAGACATACTATAAATAAAGAGAGTACAGATCTCATGGACGAGGAAGACAGTCACGTAGCATGGATAGGGGTCAGAAAAGCATTCATTCCAGGAGAGAGAGAGCAGGACTATAATTCAGGATGTGGAACATGCAGGGAAGTTTCAGTTTTTAAAAGAAACCAAAATTGTAACAAATGTTATTGGTGTATAGTGGGCAAGAATTCAACAAGACAGAAGTGATAGGGGACATATTCATTATTTTTCCAGTATGGAAGTCAAGCAAATGGTTTTTGCATTAGATTACACCCTCAGATAATCTATTCTTCAATAAAATACTGTGATTTTATTTTATATTTTGAGACAGGCTGTCACTGCATTGCTAAATTATCTAAGCTAGGATTAAACTTCATATACTTATGCTTCATCTTTTCAAACTACTGGGATTACAGTCACTTAGCACCATCACTTAGCACTCATTTTGGACTGTTAGAATATGTGGACTATTAAATACACAAATACTCTATAAAGTGTTGTAGAAATATAAAAAATTGAGAAGAACTGATGATCAAGTAAGGTATCAATGTAAGTACATGGTTTGAATGACATGTAGAACATGTATAGACTACAATGTCTTCAATGAAATAAGGCATTAATTAAAAAAGACTGATTTGGACTGTTCTTTATGTCATACTGTTTGTTTTAAAAAAATTTGTTTTTGTTTCTGAGATAGGATCTTGGTACACAGTTCAGGCTGGCCTTAAACTTATTGTGTAGCCCATGCTGGCTTCAAATTTGCCCTGCCTGAGCCTCCCTAATGCTGAAATTACAGGCATATATCACCATGTCTACTGGTGACATACTGTTAAGATAAAAATTGCTAAGTATTTCCAGGTCACCATATTATTACTAAAGAAAAAATAAATAAGAACATCTCATTAAATTGGCATAGGAAAATTATAGAACTATTTTTAAAAATATTTTCATTGGTTATCTGGGAGTGAATAGGTGAGAAATATGGAATTAGAGATTATAGCAATTTTTTTAAATTGTTTTTAAAATTTTATAAAGCATATTTATGATAGGTATGTGTATTTAGGTTTATTTTAACAGCCTTGTTGCAGTATATTAAAGTAAATTATTGATGCTACATGGAAAAATTCATGAGTTCTATTCTGATACTTTAAATTTGTATTACCTAGGAGCTACGTAACTGTGGGTGTCATAAAGACTACAAAATGTCTGTTCTAAAGCACAGAGGAGAAGAAAGATCAGAACTTATGCAAATGGGACTTAACCACATATACACTGGGTAAAATCATAGGAACACACATCAGACCGTTGGGATGACACTCAACATTTCACCATGAGCAACACAGTGAATAGCTGTCTGAAAAATCTTGATCATTTGGAAGAAGAGGCTTACTGATACAGGGGGGCAGGATTCAGAGGGAGAATACAGACAAAACAGAAAATAAAAGGTGGAATAAGATATAAACAGAAAAAAGTTATTAGTCACATGTGATCTTGAAAAAATTCAGTAGAGTACCAGGAAGAGCATATTGATGAATAAAGAATAAATAGTAAATGAGAACAAGGAGACCATAAAAATGCAAACTCTTTAGAATTGGCTATGAATGGGAATTGAGATTTGAAAACAGCCTAAAGGAGCTTGGGGCATGAGAGAGCTATACGGTTATAGGGATCAAATAAAAAAGACACTGATGATTCAGTACATAAAATCCTTAATGTTTGTCAGACCCCAGCAGATGACCACGTGAGGAATGAGGAATCAGACAGACAAATAATTAATATCAATAGAATATGGGTTGCACAATTAATGCTGATTGAATAAGAATTTTTTGAGCAGTGGTTTCAAATTTTTCAATGAACTTGATGAGAGAGTATTGGATAGGTCATTTGAGAATGTAGAGGACAAAAGTAACACGCCTACTTAGTGATCTTATGGCATTAAGTAAAACGACTAATTTTGATAATCTATGAGAATTTTGATAATTTTCATAACACTGCCTAACAGAAATTATTATGATTATGAAAATCTAAGTGAAGAAGGCCAAACATTATGTTTCTTCTGACTAATACAAAAGCCGAAAACACTAACCTAAAAATATAAGTTAAATAGTCCATTCTAACACTGAATTATTTTTTCTCTTGTGAGAGGATGATTCTGTGTGAGGCATCCTTTCTGTCTTCTAACTACATTATTCCCCAAATAAGTATTCTTTTAGACAAACTGCTTTTCTCTGTAAAGTAAAAGAGTATAATACAACAGAATCTATAATTTTAATAATAAAAATATTTCACCAGGATGACTCAGCTTACCCCCAACTATCCTTTCTTTTCTTCACCTGTTCTCAAGCAGTAATCACTAATTTTATACTAATTTAGGACCTTCCATACCTGAAATGTTTTCTGCAGAATATTTTAAATCAAATATGCTTCCTTTCTTCTTTGATTCGGAAAATTGAATAGGCTCACCCTGTTTATTGTTAATGTCCCCAACACAAATTATTGTGGCCAGGGATATAGCTCATTGGTAGAGAACTTGCTTAGCATACATGAGGCCCTGAGTGCAACCCTAGAAGTTTCAAAAGAAGTTTAAAATAAAGTAACTATTGCCTTGACTTGTGTTTTATTCATTTGGTTTGTATCAGTTTAAATATGACTCACTAAGAAAAATCACCCTACCAAATTTTAAGAATAGTGTTTCTTGACTATTAGTTTTGAAAGCTCCCATTAATTTGTCATTACTTTTTAATGGCCACAAAAACAAACACTGTCACAAAGGAATAATGAGAGATTGAATGATTCTATGAAATTAACGAGCCTGGGATTGGATTCTCTCAATGTCACATTATCAGTGCTCCACAGTCCAGCAACATCAGTCATATTTTCAGTGTTAATCAGAATTCATCATAACACGGTAATGATAAGGCCACTGATAGTTTAATATATTCTGTGTTCACTTCCACTTAAATAGCAACCATTTGCAACCTAATTTCTCTGTGCTTTTTGTGATTACAATAGGGTTTCTATTAGCTGACACGAAAGGAAATCAACTCCTCTCAAAAGTCACACAAGTCCTGAAAGCTATCAAAACATAGTCATTTCAAAATATTACTAGTTCACAAGAATTAATAATTTAGACTTTAAAACGGCTCAATGGCATAGACCACAGACAAGATATAATTTTGCCTATTCAAACCAAGAGCTCTGTCATGTGAACATGCATTCAATAAGAGTTATTCTGTTTGTCCAATCTACATTTAAAATACCTTTTGGCTAACTGGAACCAGGATTTGATTGAGACAGATTTTTAGGGTAAGCTCCGAGGAAGTGAATAGCCAGATAAGCATTCAACAAATGTTTTGTTTACTCTGTATGAGACTTTTTCTTCTATAAGGAGAGGTCAGAGAGAACCACCAGTTTCTATTTTTATCCTGTCCATTTTTGCTTAGGAGAAAATAGCTTAGTGTGAGATCGTTTTCTCAGATGGTCTCAAATTCTATATTTGCAGATATTCCCATAAACCACTAAGGTGACCTGCCCAGGCTGTCCTTGTGCTCAAGGTATAATTCCTGCAGTGCTGGTTGCTGTTAAAGACTTCGATTGTTGAGGATTCTCTCATTAAGCCATTCTGATGACCACAGCTTATCAGGTCCTGTGGTTTTATTGCTGGTTTTGGAGGAAGCATTTGGCAGGAGCATAGGCAAAAATGCAGTCACAAACAAGGCT